TAGAAACTAGATTCTCAGGATTATTTTGCGAGTCCAGTTACTGAAACACATGACTTCTTTAAGATGTGTGATGATAAGAGATTTAACAGAAGTTCTATTATTTTAAAAGAGGACAGCTGCATATGGGCTTCCAGAGAGAGAACAGGTCCGATGTTCCTGTGGACACCCATTCTTACCGTCAAGTTTAGACACCATTAGTGCCTCACAGTTTGTAATCATACAGGATGCAACTATGAATTGATTTGATTTAGATTTAGCTTTAAATTCCATATGTTCATTTATATTTTTATTTGGAATGTTTTCTTCTCAGATTTGTTTATGTGCTGTTGATGTGTTATATGTAATAGAAGTGATCTGGAAAATGTAAGACTGTGATCATGTGAGTTAGCATATATAGGCTGTGTTTAGGTAGGTTAAAGGTCAGTGTATTATTAGTAGTAAATTGGCATATCTAGTGTAAGTCTAAATCTAGGCTCCTGTAGCTCACATTGTTCCTTTTGTAGTTTCTGTAGACAAAAGCTATTTTTGTTAAGTTCATGCCTGTAAATAGTTTATAAGGGCATCAATTCTTTTGGTTAAGCTTAGCTTGGTAACTGCATCATTATAGCATTCTGCACACAGTATTGCTGTTGGAGACAATTTGTAATATTTTTAATGCAGTATAAATTCTTATATAAATCCACAATGGGCTGGCAGTGGCAGTCCATTTTAGCTGGCAGGTAAGAGGTTAGTTGTGCAACACAAGGAAGGCCAGAAGACTTGTAGATGCACAGTTCCCAGGCTAAGGAAACGTGTATGAGTGATCTAGAGAGAAAAGAGACAAGATTGGCTTATTTTATTTGATAATAAGTTTCAGTACTACATAGGTCTAGATATGTATTAATTATAAACAAGAATAGGCTTGGGTACTATTCTTTTTTATGTTTATCTATACAAAACACTTCAAAAAAAGAGGTCAAAGCCATATGTTCTAAGATTTTAAGTTTGTAGTAGCTTTACAGAGTGCAGTTTGAAAATTATTTTACTTTGACATTTAGAATATCTAGAAAATGGAAATTAGCTTGATTTTTCTTCTAGTTCCATGCACTCATGTAGATTTGTTATGTGGTTATGCATGGAAAGGAAAGTGAAGGCATAGGACTGGACAAAGTATGTTTTATTTTTATTTCCACAAGCTCTGTGAAAATGAATGTGTGTATATGTCAGAGGAAAAGTGAGGTTTGCACAAATTCCATTTATCAAAGTCATCAGTGATACCACCCAAGCTTGGCCTCCTAAATGTTAGTGCCACAAAGGAATCCATGAATCATAGGATGAGGACATGGAAGTCCTCTCTCTCATGCCAAAGCTTCTCTCTAAGAGATTTTAATATATTTCACAAGTTTATATTTTGAATTGCATAAATTATTTGTACTTCTGATGTAGATTTCTAGTCTGTCACAATCTATGCCTTTTTTAATTGGCTAATTAGTAAGTTGTCTCTGAGAGTATTTCCCCTTTTCTCTTTCTCTCCCTCTCCCTCTCTTCCTCTTTCTTTCCCTTCCTCCCTCTTTCTCTCTGCCTCTCTCCCTTTTTATCTCCCTCTTTCTCCGCTTTTCTCTCTTTCTCACTTTTTTCTCTCTCCCTCTTTATTCCTTTTTCCTCTCTCCCCCTTTCTTCCTTTTTCCTCTCTCCCCCTTTCTTCCTTTTTCTATCTCCCCCTTTTCCCCTTTTCTCCCCCCCCCCCCTCTCTCTCTCTCTCTTTGTCTCTCTCTCTCTCTCTTTGTCTCTCTCACTCTCTCTTTGTCTCTCTCACTCTCTCTTTGTCTCTCTCTCTCTCTCTCTTTGTCTCTCTCTCTCTCTCTCTCTCTCTCTCTCTCTCTCTCTCTCTCTCTCTCTCTGTTCTCTCTCTCTCTCTCTCTTGTCTCTCTCTCTCTCTCTCTCTTTGTTTCTCTCTCTCTCTCTCTTTGTTTCTCTCTCTCTCTCTTTGTTTCTCTCTCTCTCTCTCTTTGTTTCTCTCTCTCTCTCTCTTTGTTTCTCTCTCTCTCTCTCTTTGTTTCTCTCTCTCTCTCTCTTTGTTTCTCTCTCTCTCTCTCTTTGTTTCTCTCTCTCTCTCTCTCTTTGTTTCTCTCTCTCTCTCTCTCTTTGTCTCTCTCTCTCTCTCTTTGTCTCTCTCTCTCTCTTTGTCTCTCTCTCTCTCTTTTTCTCTCTCTCTCTTTCTCTCTCTCTCTCTCTCTCTCTCTCTCTCTCTCTCTCTCTCTCTCTCTCTCTCTCTCTCTCTCTCTCTCTCTCTCTCTCTCTCTCTCTCTTTGTTTCTCTCTCTTTGTTTCTCTCTCTTTGTTTCTCTCTCTTTGTTTCTCTCTCTTTGTTTTTCTCTCTTTGTTTCTCTCTCTCTCTCTCTCTCTCTCTCTCTCTCTCTCTCTCTCTCTCTCTCTCTCTCTCTCTCTCTCTCTCTCTCTCTCTCTCTCTCTCTCTCTCTCTCTCTCTTCCCTTCTCTCTCTCTCCATCTTTCCTTTTCTTTTTCTCTCCCCCTCTCCATCTTTCCTTTTCTTTTTCTCTCCCCCTCTCCCTCTCAATTTTTATAGTTTATTAGTGACAAGAAGACAGTTAGTATAGTTTAAATAAGGGAAGTGAAGTTTGATCAGGGAAGATTTTTGAATTACCACAGCATCCAGGATTTTTTATTCCTCTCACGTAGAAACCGTTGATATTCAGAATCTCTGATAAGATCTTGTTTTTTGTTTCTTAATACTTTAAGAAGAAATATGTATCATTATCAATTATACATTGATACTTTCAACTGCTTGTATGTCGAGACATTTTGCAACATGTAATCTAACCCACACACATACATACAAACTATGTATTGAGAGAAGCATTTTGATAGATGTAGACCATATGCATACAGACACTTGTACATACATACATAAATACATAATCTGTATTGTATGTTTGTAAAACCAACAAATAAACTAACACATTTAGCTCATACACTTTGGATTATTTTCACCATCATATGAGAGACATAAATATCCATAGAAACCTGTCTTTGGTTTCTGCAAAACATACTAGCTCGATTAATAGAGATAAAACAGTAAAACTGAGGAATAGTGATCTATTACAGCTAATGTTAATTTCTGAACTTGATGCTATGGAAGTTCTAGAGGAAAGAGTAGTATCTGTTATTATTCATTTCATATCATATGACATTTCTACTTTTTAATATTCATGTTTTTATTGAAGGAATTATATTATTTTTCCTTTATTTTAATTTCTTTGTATTTTTAATAAACTGTAAGCAAAAAGGTATTGTATCTTTGGAAGGAATAACATACTAGTAAATTTAGGTATCACAGCTAAAAATGTTTATGAATGAAACTGCATTTTGTTGGGATTCGATTAAGTGATTTAGTAAAAACTTTTGTAAATATTCCATTGTTCCTTTTTTTTAATATCCTCAGATTTTCTCCACTGCTTGAGGCTGGGACTTCTAAAAGTTCTTTAACCCATTCGCGCCGGGTAAAAATGAACAAAAAATGGGGAAAATGCTGTGCTCATTTTTTATATATTTTTATGAAATTTCTCTACACTAGATGGCTCTGCCTTACCTGATTTCACCTTTACTTTAACCCAATGGTGCCAGGGAAAATGAACAAAAAATGGGGAAAATATTGTGCCCACTTTCTATGTTTTTCGTGAAATGTCTGCTGATAGATGGCTTTGCTAGTGCCTGATTTAAATGGCGGGAAAAACGTATTTTTCACTAGTGCTATGAAAATCGATGGTGTTATTTTTATCATAAACTTTATAATTTTTATAATTTTTTTAAACATTAGTAACAGCAAAATAAGATTACGTAAAATATTTTGTAAATCAAAGAAACGGCTAAACGGGCGAGACGGGCGGTGCTCGTAACTGGCTCATTGGGGAGTTAGTACAAGTGTTGCCATCTATGCGTAAAAACAATCAAACAAGTACTTACTGTGGGCATAGCACGTACGTACACGTCATACCCGGCACCAAGGGTTAATTGTATTTTTACTAGTGTTATGAATATTGATGGTTATTTTTATTATAAACATTATAATTACTATAATGTTATAAACATTAGTAACAGCAAAATAAGATAACGCAAAATAATTTTGTAAAGTAAAGAAAAGGGTAAACAGGTGAGACAGGCAGTACAAGTACAAGTGGAGCCATCTGTGTGTGAAAACAATTAAACAAGTAAACTCACTGTGAGCCCGTCACATATATGTGATGCCCAGGGTGAATGGGTTAACCCTTCTGCGACAGGCGACATCTTAAAACATCACCTGTATATTTTTTTCTCAGACATGATGGAGAATATTTGCATATATATTGTATTATAGCACAGCACCAATAACAAGCCTTTCATGTGATAACTTTGTCAAAGTATTCTAAGAGACTAGAAAATTATTTGAATAAAATACAAAATTCTGTGCAAAAGTCACACTCTCTAGTGCTTCATGTGTGTTTATGTGAATAATAAGGTCACTAAGATAGTCAAATTCATCCATCTTGCCTGGGGGTTTTACACTAATCACAAGGTCAGTCTTGTGTAGAATGTAGACTCATACACATCTCCCTCTCTTCCGTTTTGGCCACTTGACTGATCATCCCACAATTCCCATATCCATATCCATATCCATATCCATATCCATATCCATATCCATATCCATATCCATATCCATATCCATATCCATATCCATATCCATATCCATATCCATATCCATATCCATATCCATATCCATATCCATATCCATATCCATATCCATATCCATATCCATATCCATATCCATATCCATATCCATATCCATATCCATATCCATATCCATATCCATATCCATATCCATATCCATATCCATATCCATATCCATATCCATATCCATATCCATATCCATATCCATATCCATATCCATATCCATATCCATATCCATATCCATATCCATATCCATATCCATATCCATATCCATATCCATATCCATATCCATATCCATATCCATATCCATATCCATATCCATATCCATATCCATATCCATATCCATATCCATATCCATATCCATATCCATATCCATATCCATATCCATATCCATATCCATATCCATATCCATATCCATATCCATATCCATATCCATATCCATATCCATATCCATATCCATATCCATATCCATATCCATATCCATATCCATATCCATATCCATATCCATATCCATATCCATATCCATATCCATATCCATATCCATATCCATATCCATATCCATATCCATATCCATATCCATATCCATATCCATATCCATATCCATATCCATATCCATATCCATATCCATATCCATATCCATATCCATATCCATATCCATATCCATATCCATATCCATATCCATATCCATATCCATATCCATATCCATATCCATATCCATATCCATATCCATATCCATATCCATATCCATATCCATATCCATATCCATATCCATATCCATATCCATATCCATATCCATATCCATATCCATATCCATATCCATATCCATATCCATATCCATATCCATATCCATATCCATATCCATATCCATATCCATATCCATATCCATATCCATATCCATATCCATATCCATATCCATATCCATATCCATATCCATATCCATATCCATATCCATATCCATATCCATATCCATATCCATATCCATATCCATATCCATATCCATATCCATATCCATATCCATATCCATATCCATATCCATATCCATATCCATATCCATATCCATATCCATATCCATATCCATATCCATATCCATATCCATATCCATATCCATATCCATATCCATATCCATATCCATATCCATATCCATATCCATATCCATATCCATATCCATATCCATATCCATATCCATATCCATATCCATATCCATATCCATATCCATATCCATATCCATATCCATATCCATATCCATATCCATATCCATATCCATATCCATATCCATATCCATATCCATATCCATATCCATATCCATATCCATATCCATATCCATATCCATATCCATATCCATATCCATATCCATATCCATATCCATATCCATATCCATATCCATATCCATATCCATATCCATATCCATATCCATATCCATATCCATATCCATATCCATATCCATATCCATATCCATATCCATATCCATATCCATATCCATATCCATATCCATATCCATATCCATATCCATATCCATATCCATATCCATATCCATATCCATATCCATATCCATATCCATATCCATATCCATATCCATATCCATATCCATATCCATATCCATATCCATATCCATATCCATATCCATATCCATATCCATATCCATATCCATATCCATATCCATATCCATATCCATATCCATATCCATATCCATATCCATATCCATATCCATATCCATATCCATATCCATATCCATATCCATATCCATATCCATATCCATATCCATATCCATATCCATATCCATATCCATATCCATATCCATATCCATATCCATATCCATATCCATATCCATATCCATATCCATATCCATATCCATATCCATATCCATATCCATATCCATATCCATATCCATATCCATATCCATATCCATATCCATATCCATATCCATATCCATATCCATATCCATATCCATATCCATATCCATATCCATATCCATATCCATATCCATATCCATATCCATATCCATATCCATATCCATATCCATATCCATATCCATATCCATATCCATATCCATATCCATATCCATATCCATATCCATATCCATATCCATATCCATATCCATATCCATATCCATATCCATATCCATATCCATATCCATATCCATATCCATATCCATATCC